GAAAATACGTGCGACTCATTGCTGTGGATCTGATGACATATTCAAGGATTGACGGTGATCAGAATTCAGCTTTTCTATTGCGATCCCATGAAAACTTTGAGGAATATCTTAGTGGTATCAGTGAAGAGATGTTGAGGGCTACTTTACGTCTTGGAGTGAGGTACTTGCATGAGGGTTTAAACAGTTCTGATCAAGAAGTTGTTTCAGAGCTATTCAAAGGTGGATTCATTCAGGTTTGTGTTATGAGTAGTTCGTTCTGTTGGGGAGTGCCATTGACAGCACATTTGGTGTTTGTGATGGGAACACAGTATTATGATGGGCAGGAAAATGCTCATACGGACTATCCTGTTGCAGATCTATTGCGGATGATGGGTCATGCCGATCGACCTCTGCTGGGTAATTCTGGAAAATGTGTCATCCTCTGTCATGCCCCTCGTAAAGAATACTACAAGAAGTTCTTGTATGAAGCATCTCCTGTTGAAAGTCATTTGTATCATTTCCTACACGATAATTTCAATGCAGAAGTTGTTGCAGGAGTTATTGAGAACAAGCAAGATGCTGTGGATTATCTCACTTGGACGTTCATGTACAGGAGGCTCACTCAAAATCCAAACTACTACAATCTCCAGGGTGTAAATCACAGGCATCTCTCGGAGCTGGTTGAAAATACATTAAGTGATCTGGAAGCAAGCAAGTGCATCATTATAGAAAATGACATGGACCTTTCTCCTTCAAATCATGGCATGATTGCTTCTTACCATTGCATCAGTTATACTACTATTGAACGGTTCAGTTCTTCTTTAACTCCAAAGACAAAGATGAAGGGTCTTCTGGAGATTCTTGCTTCAGCTTCAGAGTATGTGCAACTACCTATACGACCTGGGGAGGAAGAGGTGGTTCGGAGGTTAATTAATCACCAGAGATTTTCATTTGAGAATCCAAGATGCACTGATCCTCATGTTAAGGCGAATGCTCTTCTTCAAGCACACTTCTCGAGGCAATCAGTGGGTGGGAACCTTGCATTGGACCAGCGGGAGGTTCTCCTTTCTGCTAGTAGATTGCTCCAGGCTATGGTTGATGTTATTTCAAGTAATGGTTGGTTGAGCCTTGCACTCCTTGCAATGGAAGTGAGTCAAATGGTGACTCAGGGCATGTGGGAATGCGATTCCACGCTTCTCCAGCTCCCGCATTTCACAAAAGATTTGGCGAAGAAATGCCAAGAGAATCCTGGCAAGAGCATAGAGACAGTGTTTGATTTGGTGGATATGGAGGATGATGAGAGGCATGAGCTCCTGCAGATGTCCGATTCACAGTTAACTGATATTGCAAGGTTTTGCAATCGTTTCCCCAACATAGACATATCTTGTGAGGTGCAGGATGGTGATAATGTAAGGGCTCGGGAAGACATTACATTGCAAGTCACCCTTGAGCGGGATGTGGAGGGGAGGACAGAGGTGGGACCTGTTGATGCTCCCAGATATCCTAAAGCCAAAGATGAAGGCTGGTGGCTGCTTGTTGGCGACACCAAGACTAACCAGTTGGTTGCCATTAAGAGGGTGTCACTCCAGAGGAAGTCAAGGGTCAAGCTTGATTTTGCTGCACCTGCAGATGCTGGCAAGAAATCATATACTTTGTATTTTATGTGTGATTCATATTTGGGCTGTGACCAAGAATACAGTTTAACCGTTGATGTCAAAGAAGTTGGCGGCCCGGATGAAGGCAGTGAACGGGAATGAACAAAAAGTTTGCCATTAGATTAGCAGGCTTCATAAATTTGCATTTTACTAATGAGAATTATCTTATAACATTATATGATGATAATCACAAACACGGTACAACGTACAACACTTGAGGAAAGAACAAGTAAAGTTTGGCTTAGCTATGCTAGAACCCTCAGTTTGAAAAACCATCAACGTTCCTCCCTCCGTTAATTATATATTTAAGCAAAGAGAATATTATTCCAATCAAATGTCGTAAGAAATTCTCACATACATTTACTTGTATAAACATATTTACGTGCTTCTGAAAGTAATTGCACTAGATGATAACAAGTTTATGCCCTTGCTTTATCCCTTGAGTATTTCCTCAATTGAACAGTAACAAAAATTATTAACTCTCAGCACAGGTGGCCCGATTACAAAATCAATACTGCCCATGAAAGAAATTACAATATTAGAAACATGATTTTATAATGCGCATGATTTTTTATTTCACTTTTTCATTTATTTTTTGTAACCTTATTTTGTATAAAAACTTTTATAAGATTTCTTTATAAGTATAATTGTTGAAACACTGGCCAAATATATGCAATAAAATAAATAAAAAAGTAAATAAATAACACTTGATTTACCTTGATTCGTTTCAATTAAGGAACTACGTCTAAAATTCAAATAGAGATTTTATTAAGTTTTAGAACTCTGCAACAATTACAAATCAATAATGACGGCAACTCACTCTCTCTCTATTTTTCTTGTAATCCTAGGTTTCTCACTATTACATTATATAATAGTAAACCCTACCCCATTTAGGCCTATCCAAATCTAGGCATAAATATTAATAAAACAATAATAAGTTCAATTACTAATTAGACTTACCGTGAAGGGAGCACTGCCCATCACCCTCGCGGCCTCACCCACTCACCGAAAAGCGAGACCCCCAAATGCGTTTACGTAGGGGTCAAGTTCATGCAAAGTATGAACCATATCTAACAATGGGATTATTGATCTTTTATACTAAATTAACAACTAATAAAAAAATTTCAAATAGAAACTTAACCAAAAAAAATCTTCAAATACTATATCATTTTACAATTTAATCACCATTAATTCATCAATCAGCTCCATTACAACAAAATGAACAAAATTCATCAGGTGCTTCATTCATATAATTCATTGATCCTTCCCATTTTATACCAACAAAACCAATGTTTTAAAAACCGATTAGGCCTCGACCCGCTTGCATAATTCAGTGTCAAAGAGTATAAATCCTTTTTTTCTTTTAACATTTACAGTTTTACACTATGAATCATTCTTTTAAAACACCATTTTGAAAACAATTTCCTGGTTTTATTTTAATGGGTTGTATTATACATTGTTGTTTTGTGAAGTTATTGGTTGGTATTAATTATTTAATTAATTTGCTTTAACAATGTAAAGTTTAATATATAACTCAATATAAACTATTGTTAATTATCAAACCAAAAATATATAAACAAATTGAATATAGTGGGATGATTATGCAATAAAATATACTCAATTTTTGAAGAATAATTCACTGTAAAAGTTCGCTATATACATTAATTAACTAGTTTTCGCCTTCAAGGGTAGCCTAGCAGAGGACAACCATCAATATATTTTCCCAATGCCGCATTCAGAGCAAGGTGGTTTGACAGTGCCTTCAACTTGAGACGATTATAAATTTGCGAAGAAACAAGAGATGGCATGATTGTAATATCATCTTCTTCTTCTCCCTTTCTTGTAATTTCATAATCCCACTCTTTCCATTCATACATTCTTAAAAAACATAGAACTTTCAATTTGAGGAAGGAAATAAATAATGAAGATGTGTCATCCCTTCCTACTCCCAAAAATTCATTACTCACTCTTTTCACACTGCATATGAAAGAAATTACAAAATCAAAACCATGATTCTGAGATGCGCTTCTGTTTAAACATCAAGAAGCAAATAATGAATAAAGATTATTAGTGAGAATGCATAACGTACCATTAACTCCATATTAATCGAGATATTTCAACTACTCTCCAAATGCCATTCTTTCTTTTTTCCATAATGTAAAAAGCTGTACCGAGACAATAAATATTTAATGAAATTTGGAACTATGAACAGAAAACTACATGCCTAAGTAAAAAGCACTTTAACACTATCGGAAAATTGATTTAAGCAAAGTTGGATTACGACCTTTAGAAAGTACAAACATAGGTTATGCGAAATATTTCGAAGCCTGTCAACTTTTTCTAGGAGGGATACAAAGTACAGTATACAGAATTGGATGCCTGGTGTCAATAAGCTCAAATAGATCAAATGCAACAAGAAACGACCTCACGACATCTTAAACTTGTCTCACTGCATCAAAATTAACATATCAAAATCAAAGTTTATTCGAGAGAACAGGGCTTTGTCATACTAAAGAGAGAAAACCAAAACAAACCTCACTGTACCAGTCATCAAGGGATTTCATCGAGGGTCTAGAGTAATTGGAGAAGCTTCTTCATCTAGCATACTTTCATTGATAAGAACTTCCCATCTAGCATGTTGTACCATAATGTTCGAATTCCTCCTCTGCATCGATTCATCATTCCATGATCAACTGATATTAAACCACATTGTGACATGAAGATGCAAGCATTAATATTGTTGACAAGATTAAAAATGACAATGACAATGTTAATTCTAAAAAGGGATTGTGTATATATGAATAGGTAATTGGCTATCATCTACAGCAATTTGCTCTTTTAACGAAGCAATGTAGCATATAGAAATATAGATGAGATGCTACTCACCAAGCAAACGTGAAAAGAAAAACAGACCTTATTAGGAACAAGGGCATTTTCAACCCCTTCAATTCTCTGTTTCAACAAAGTACAGTTCCACTCATCCAACACATCGTCAATGTCATAAGGCGTGTCCTTGAGCCGATCTAACCAAAGTCTGACGTTTCTCTCCTTCCCTTGTCTTTCCTCTGCATCAAGGAGCACAGCTTGAATTGCTTGAAGATTGCTCCTGGGCTTTTTAACTTATTTGTGAAGACCAACAACTAGCCTCACCTCCTGTTGTATCCCTAGGGCAATGATTGAAGTCAGCTGCTCCAAGACACTGGAGATAATAGCTTCAGCCATAATCAGAAAAGGTAACTATTTGTAAGAAGAAAGAGCAAGAGATATATTCGTGAAGCTTTTGACATCGTTTGAATTCTTATACTACATAACATAGAAGAAGCCTAGAAACCAACAAATGTTACATGGTGGCAAGGCCCTGCGCACCTTCTATTGATACCAATAATTCAACAAAAATATGCAGACTTCAATGTTGATATATACCAAATCCTTTTAAAATAATAGAATCAGTAATGGTGAGCCTGGTTGGCCAGAACCTTGAATCATCTTTTGTTTGGTTTTATGTATAGTTGTGTTGTAGTAATACTTTTATATATAAAGCAGAAGCAGTAAATATATATTATTAAATTAAATTATGAAGAATTTTATCCATATATAGAGCTCACCAAGAAAATGTGAAAACCAGAAGATTCAGCACCTGTTTCATCAGCCAAAAGTTTCTTCTTGTTACAATATATGTCCCTCAATGAAGTTTCTACCATTGAACTATAAAGAATTGGTCCTTCATTCTTCCTCTCTTCCATAACCCAGTGTTGTGACCTTTAAGGAGTACAGAGACAGTTATACACAAAGATTTAAGGGATGGCAATTTTCCCAAGGCAGGCAATTGCTTGCAGTTTATGCATCCAGCTAGTGTTAAGTCCCTGAGGTTGGTTAAGGACATCATCCAGTTGGGTAAAAGCACACTGACATATGAAAAATGCATTAATTATTTATAGGATTACAAATGACAGTGATGATGTTAATTCTAAAAAAGGGTAGTAAATTGTTCTATTTAAGAAGCAAGTAAGTGATAGATATATAGATCAGAGGCCAGCTCACCCAACAAAATGTGAAAACCAAAAGATTCAGTACTTGTTTCATGAAGCAAATTTGCTTTTATTTCTACAAGTGCATCAATGAAGTTTCTGCAATTGCTTTGCCCTAGAGCATTCCCTGCAGTGAGGAAATCAGTTCTGCACATTAAAGATATAGCAGATTCAGAAAGAGGATGATGTGATATGCTTTTGTTTAAACATCAAGAATGAAGAAAAAATAAAGATTATTAGTAAGAATGCATTACAACCATGTATTAACTCTGATATGTTTATTAATCACAATTCTTCAACTAATCTCTGAATGTCATTGTTCCTCTCTTAAATAACGCAAAATACAGCACTGATACAATAAATATTTGATGAAACTTGCAACTATGATTAGAAAATTACATGCCTCAGTATAAAGAAAAAGAAACTTAAACAGTATCAGAAAATTGATTAAAGGAAAGTGGGATTATGACCTTTAACAAGTACATAGGTTCCAGGCCTGTCTACTTGTTCCAGGATGATACAAACTTCAGTAGACAGAAAATGTGTGGTTCCAATAAGCTCATATAGAGGAAAAAAAAAAAAACACAAATTCATGACATCTTAAACTTGCCTGATAAGTAGAGGGACAACCAGAACAAACTTAGTTTCTTAGTCATCAAGGGATTTCATAGAGAATCCAGTGTAATGACAGATGCAGTTGCTCAATATCTTCTTAAAAGTGACAACTTTCATTGACAATTCCCCTATTAGCATGCTTGTATCACTATGTTTGAATTCCTCCTCTGTTACGATTCATGGTTCCATGATCATCTGATGCTAAAGCACACTCTCACATGAAGATGCTAATATTAATACCATATACAAGTTTTCTAAACAAAGGTTGAATATAAATAGGTGATTGGCTACCATCAATGACAGTTTGTTCTTCTGAAGAAGCAACGTAGCAAATAGAAACTCAGATGAGATGCTACTCACCAAGCAAATTTGAAAACCAAAAGATTTAGGACTTTTTTCTCCAGGCCTGTCAATAGTTTCCGGTGTGGAAAAATGTTCTTCACAGGGAATTTGATGCCGGGTTTCAATATGCTCAAAGGGAACAAACGCCTTAACATAGGTAACTTTCCTTACAACTTGATAAGAGAAACCTCAAACTGAGTCCTCAGAGATTTCATAGATGAAATTCAGTACAATTAGAGAAGCTCCCTGACAAACACACAAAAACCAGTTATTAAAGAAGAAATGAATAGGTAATGCGGTATCATCAATAACAATTTGTTTTCTTGAAGAAGCAATGTAGGAAACGGATAGATGAGATGCTACTCACCAAGAAACTTTGAAAACCAAAAGATCTGCACTTGTTGGCTGTTTCATTGGGCAACTTTTCTTTTCGATAGAATTGCCCGCACCGAAATTTCTGCTATTGAATGATTACAACTTGTCATTTCATTACTTTGCCCCGGAGTATTTTCTCTGCCGATCAATGACAGAAGTTATAAATTGTTAGCATAAGTAATTTTATGCCTGGTCTGTCACTGTTTTCCAGCATGACAAAAAGTTCTGCAGAAGGAATTTAATGCCTGGTTTCAATTAGCTGAAAGTGAACAAATGTCTTAACATAGGAAAGTTTTGCTGAAATTCAAGACATCATATGTCAACCTTGATTCTTCAGGAAATTCATGACATCTTAAACTTGCCTCTCTGCATCAAAATTAACATATCAAAATAAAGTTTAATTATAGAGAACATGACTTTTCAATGTCCCCACTGGGTAGAGAGATAAGCAAGAAAATAAACCTATCACAATGAATCATCAAAGGATTTCATTGAGGGAATCCACCGTAATTTGAGAAGCTTCTGACATAAGAGCAATCCAACAGTAAGAGAAACCAAATAACAGATACATAAATCAGTTCTGCATAAAATTTAAAGAACATGCAAAACCAGTAATTGTGTTGTGATATGCTTTCTAGTTTAAAAATAAGGAAAAACAAATAAGTAAGAAAGCATAACCAACCACTTGAGTCCTTTTGAGTACATAATCTCCTATATTTGTCCATCCTCTTCCACATTTGTTCTAAGGTACAAATTTGGAAGCTGTGATCAAATAGAAATTCGCATGCCTTAGTTAAAAGGAAAAAATTGCACTAACAGTATTATCAGATGATTAATGGTATCAAATTCTAGCTTACCAAGCCAATGTGAAGACAAAGGATTGAGCACTGGTTTCATCTGGTAAATTTTCTCTTTGCTTACAAGTGCCTCAATCAAGTTTACTTCAGTGCATGATGTCATTTGGTCAATTTGAAATTCTTAGCATTGTTAGCAACCATAATAAAAAAATAAGTAACAGAACCAGTTACAAAATGATGTGATTTGCTTTCTAAATAAACATCAAGAATTAAAGAAAGAACAGAGAGCAATATTGAGAAAGCATAACCAACCATTAATCAAGTTCTTTCCGCTACTCTCCAAAACCCATTCTTCCTCTCTTTAAAGTTTCCCTGGGTTTGGTTTTGGAAAATGCTCTGTGTCAAGTATCTATCATCAATAACAAATTGTCTATGCAAGAAGCAAACAGGAGATAGAAACGTAGAGCAGTTTGAAGCTTACAGGAAAATGTTAAGAGCAAGATTGAGCTCTTGTTTCATCTTGCAAATTATCTCTTTTTACAAGTCCCTCAACGACGTTTCTTCTTCCAAAAATGAGATAAACTGGTTCTGCAATTCTATGGCCTCCAGTATTTACTCTGATGATCAGTAACAGAATTCTTGAATTCTCAGAATAATTAGCATGACTAGAAAATCACTTCTTCACATACATCAAAGCAAGAACAAAAAGCAACATTGAGTAAGCATATCTAAACACTAATTCAGTTCTTTCAACGACTCTTCTAAAGCCCTTAAGTCCTTCTCTCTTCGATAAGGTATTAATGGGCCAATTCATTCTTTAATTTTATAATAAAATTTAAATAAGTAATAAGAAAATCTATGAATAAATATTACTTAAACACATGAAATTTGAATAATTGATTAAATATTGAATCAGAAATTGGATACATTTATTTAAACAAAAATAAAATATATTACCTCTCATTTTCCCCTACAATCAACAATCATAAATATTTTTCATTGCTGTTCTTCCTTTATTTACTGCTTTACCCTTGAGTTTTTCCTTCAAAGATGAGAGAGTAAATCATTTCAGCACATTAGAATCAGAAACACAAAGCAGTTATGTACCTTATTTTGTATTAATGAACCAATGCATTCTTTAATTTTACAAAATATATATAAATATTCTATTATTTTTAAATAACTAATAAGAAAAATTTTGATGAAATCAAATTAATTTTATAAAGATAATGAAATCAAAAGTGAATATAATTAGTGAATTAAAATTGGCAATGCCAGGCCAGCCATATATTATATTTACATAAAAAAAAAAGAAAAAGAAAAAAAAATATTTTTTAAATAAGTAATAAGAAAATTTTGATGAAATAAAATTAATTTTATAAAACTTAAAAAAGGTGGATTTACCTGACCTCAGGAGAGTAAAGTTAACGAAATGAATATGATTAGTCAATTAAGTTGAGAATGGGAAATAAAAATTGGCCATTTATTAATACTATACAGTATTTACTAATTCTTCAATTTGGACCATTAATTAAATCTATTAATAAACTTAAACAGATGAAATTTCAATATCTTAAAATTAAACATTAAAAGGTCAATTTTACAAAAAAATATAAATATTCTATATTTTAAAAAAACTAATAAGAAGATTTTGATGAAATAAAATTAATGTCATAAGGCCAAAAATACATTCGAGAAATTGTATTTTTTTTTAAATAAGTAATAAGAAAATCTATGAGTAAATATTACTTAAACACATGAAATTTGAATAATTAATTAAATATTCAATCAGAAATTAGATCATTTATTTAAACAAAAATAAAATATATTACCTCTCATTTTCCCCTACAACCAACGGTAGCTAAGCACAGGATTGTCATAATCATAAATATCTTTCATTGTTGTTTTACTGCTTTGCCCTTGAGTATTCCCTTCACAGATGAGAGACAGAAATTGTAAAGTCTCAGCATATATAGGAAGACGTTGAAACAGTAAATCACTTTAGCACATTAGAGTCAATAATTGAATCAGAAACACAAAGCAGTTATGTACTTTATTTTGTATTAATGAGCAAATCCATTCTTTAATTTTACAAAATATATATAAATATTCTATTAATTTTTAAATAACTAATAAGAAAAATTTTGATGAAATAAAATTAATTTTATAAAACTAAAAATACATTCAAGAAATTGTATTTCTATTAAGGAGAGGAGACCAATCTCATTTCATTTCAATGTAAAGATAATGAAATGAAAAGTGAATATAATTAGTGAATTAAAATTGGCAATGTCAGGCCAGCCACATGTATTAATATTATATTTACTAATTCTTGAATTTGGACCATTATTTAAATTACCTTTAACTAAATCTATCATTATCATTTAACTTAAACACATGCCTTTTTTCAATATCTTCAAATTCATTAATTATTCAATCACAAATACATTTATTTAAACAAAAATATAAAAATATTACCTCTCATTTTCCTCTTCATTGATGGTAGCGTACGATGAGGACACACCCAAATAGTCCACACCCAAATACCCTTTTTCAATGTTGTATTCAAAATAAGGTGGTTTGATAGTGTCTTCAATTTGGGGCAGCACCAAATTGTCAAGGAAACCAGAGATGGCATGATTGTAATGTCATCTTTTTATTCTTCGCCTTTTCTTGTAATCTCATAATCCCACTCTTCCCATTCATCCATCATTGAAAATCTAAGGCTTTTCAATTTGGAGAAGAAAATAAATTATGAAGATATGTCATCACTTTCTATTCCCAAAAATAAAATCTTGATGAAATAAAATTAATTTTATAAATCTAAAATTACATTTAAGAAATTGTATTCCTATTTTTCTTAAAACAAGTGGAGACCAATTAGGCATGGCAATGGGGCGAGGTGGGGCGGGGATCTCATTCACCGTACCTATCCCCACCCTCAAAATCATTCCCCACCCCCGCCCCATCCTCGTTACGGGGATGACAAGAATTCCCCTTCCCCACCCCAAAGGGATGTTGGAGGCCTGTCCCCGTCCCGTTAATTTTATATAAACATAAATTAATTTGAGTATTACCAAACACAATAGTTAATTCTCGTCCACATGACAAACACTTAAATTAATCGTTTAAACATAATTAATTATACATAAATATGGGTCAGGGTTTGTTCTTGTTCAATTGTTTAGGGTGAGGGAAATTAGGAAAATATGGGTTTATATAGATAGGATAATTATGTAATTAGGTGAAATATAGGGGTATTAGTAAAAAGTAAATATATATATACATTTTTTTAATTTTATATATTATATACGGGGCGGGCCGGGGGAAAGGCATCACCACCCCCACCCCATCCTCGAGGACGGGGATTAAAACACCCCCCACCCCCGCCCCTATCCCCAAAAAAACCGGGGCTTCTCCGCCCCATATGAGGCGGGGCGGGACGGGTCCCCGAAATCCCGAGGAACATTGCCATGCCTAAGACCAATCTCTTCCATTTCAATGTAAAGATATTGAAATGAAAAGTGGATATCAAAGAATATAATAATAATTAGTCAATTAACTTGGGAATGGGAAGTAAAAATTTAATAATTGTTGAATTTGGACCATTAAATTACCTCTAAATCTATGAATAAATATTACTTAGAAACATGAAATTTGAATAATTGATTAAATATTCAATAAGAAATGATGCATTTATTTAAACAAAAATAAAATATATTACCTCTCTTTTTCCCCTACAACCAACATTCATAAATATCTTTCATTGTTGTTCTTCCTTTATTTGCTGCTTTACCCTTGAGTATTTCCTTCAAAGATGAGAGAGCAAATCACTTCAGCACATTAGAGTCGATAATAGAATCAGAAACACAGAGCACTTATGTACCTTATTTTGTATTAATGACCCAATCCATTCTTTAATTTTACAAAATATATATAAATATTCTATTTATTTTTAATTAACTAATAAGAAAATTTTGATGAAATAAAATTAATTTTATAAAGATAATGATATGAAAAGTGAATATAATTAGTGAATTAAAATTGGCAATGCCAGGCCAACCATATATATTAGAATAATACTACAGTCACCGAAAGTAGTACACCGAATTTGTACACCGAGTGACGTAGCGCAATCCTGACCGTCTATTAATATTCAGTTATAATTAATTGACAGTCATGATTGAGTCACGTCATTCGGTGCACAAATTCAGTGATTGTATTAGTTTCCTATGTATTAATATTATATTTACTAATTCTTGAATTTGGACCATTATTTAAATTACCTCTAACTAAATCTATCATTAACTAAAACACATGCCTTTTTTCAATATCTTCAAATTCATTAATTATTCAATCACAGTACTTTTATTTAAACAAAAATAAATTATATTACCTCTCATCTTCCCCTTCACCAAGGGTAGCCAAGCAGAGGACAGTACCCAATATGTTTTTTCAATGCTGTATTCTGACCAAGGTGGGCTGGCAGTGCCTTCAATTTGGGGCAGTCCCAAATTTCCAAGGAAACAAGAGATGGCATGATTTTAATATCATCTTCTTCATCTCCCTTTCTTGTAATCTTATAATCCCACTCTTCCCATTCATTCATATAACGAAAAGCGAGAGTTTTCAATTTGGGGAAGAAAATAAATGATGAAGATGTGCCATCACTTTCTATTCCCAAAAATTCATTACTCACTCTTTTCAAACTCCTCATAGAATATATACACAAAGATTCAAGGGATGACAATTTTCCCAAGGGAGGCAAATGCTTACAGTTTATGGAGTTAGAGAGTTTTAAGTCCTTGAGCTTGGATAAGGACATCATCCAGTTGGGTGAAATAGTGTTGCCTCTGTAATTCCATATATGTAATTTCTCCAAATTTAAAGGTGGTTGTAAGATTTCAAGAAGTGTTTCATCATCCTCATTCGTCCTCTCTCCATCTTCTTCTGCTTCATCATCCTCAATTGCCCTCTCTCCTTCGTCTTCCTCTGATTCATCATCCTCATTCGTCCTCTCTCCTTCGTCTTCTTCTAATTCGTCATCCTCATTTGTCCACTCTTCTTCGTCTTTTCTGAAATCCAGAGTCAAATGAAGGAGGTTTTTCTGATTCTTGAGCTCTAATCTTCTAGCTTCATCCACATTTGATACATTTCCTAACTTATCTATACACAAATCTCCATATGGGTTAAGATATTTCAAACCTTCAAGGCTGCATGCTTTATCATCATTACCAACAAAGAATTTCCTTAAGGTTCGAAGATTAGTCAACCTTTGAATTCCTATTGGCATGTATCTTAGATCATAGACCGGATCATTTTCTAGATGCCTTAGATTTATTAATTTTCCAATCCCTTGAGGTAATTCTTGCAGATGTTGACATTCATTAACGTCTAAAGTTTGCAAATTATATAATCCACATAATTCTTCAGGAAGTTTTCTCATTCCTCGATTGACCAAATGAAGATATCTCAAATGTATCAATTTTTCTATCCCTTTCGGAAAGTCTCGTCCAATAAAGGAAATAGTTAATGCCTTTAAACATGTCAATTCACCAAATAATTTTGTGAACATATTAGAAGGCAACGTAATGAACAAGGGAGCTTCCTTATCAAGTATGAAACTACGCAGCCTTTTGAGACTACAAATAGATAAAGGAATTGGAGTCCTTTCATCATCATGACCTGTTACCATCAAATGAAAAACTTGCTCATGATAAGAAGAGTTTATGATTGGCTCTTTAAGACCATTAACTTCTATGTGGAGACATTCATTCTTAGTCAAGAATTGAGCAAAGTCATGTACTAAATCGTGCATCTTACATCCAACGATATTATCGTGATCATCTTTTACAAAATCCTGGAACAATGAGCGTGATGCTAAGTAGTCAAAGTACTCTTGACCAACTATCCCCATTACATCATTTCCTTCTTGTTTGAGATAACCATGAGCCATCCATAATTTAATCAAATAATCTCTTTCTATGTTATGGTCCTTTGGAAAGATGGCACAATATGTGAAACATCGTTTTATCTTGAAAGGCAAATCATTATAACTCAATTGTAGAGGACCGAAAATATTTTTTTCAAACACTTCAAGTTTCCACAAATCACTATCTAAGATATTTTGCCACCCTTCTCTAGTTTGTCTAAAGCACAAAAGACTACCAATAGTCTTTACAGCAAGAGGCAAACCTTTGCACTTGTTTAAAACTTTCTTGCCAATCTCTTCTAGATTTTCACACTCCGCTTGAGACCTACCAAAAAATGCAAATCGCTTAAACATCAACCAACATTCTTCATCGGGCAATTCTTTGACAGCAATAGTGTCAATTGATTCCATCATATGTGCCACTGATTCCTTACGTGTAGTAATCAAAATTTTACTATCATGGAGACCATTCTTCAAACAACAATATAATGGCTCCCATTTTTTGTAGTCATCTGACCACACATCATCCAAGATAAGCAAAAATTTCTTTTCAGCAATAGATCTACTAATACGTTGAAAAAGCGATTCCAATTCACCTAAATTTGAACTAAAACCTTCTAGAGCCTCAATGATTGCTTTGGCTATCCTATATTCATCAAAAGGTTCTGACACACACACCCAAATTACTTTATCAAAGTTATTTATCACCTCATTGTCTTTAGAAGCAAATTGAGCAACAGTAGTCTTACCAATTCCCCCCATCCCTATAATAGAGATGATATGGGGGTGTTGGTCACTAGTCTCACACAACATGCATACTAAAGTATTCTTTTCCTCAACTCGACCACATATATTGGACACATCAACAAATGAGGTACTTTGTACTCGTTCAAACTTCCCAACACTTCTACTCACTTTAAAATCATACATATCTTTTTGTTTCACAATGACATCTAACTTTTCATTGAATTCCTTTATCTTGACCGCAATTTCAAGACGTAACCCTGCTTGTTGGTACGAAGAGGAAGAGGGAGAGGAAAGATGTACCTTCTTAGGAGGAACCCCCTCAATTTGCTGTTTCAGCACAGCATAGTTCCACTCATCCAACACGTCTTCAATGTCATAAGACATGTACTTGAGCCGATCTAACCAAAGTCTGACGTCTCTCTCCTTCACTTCTCTCTCCTCTGCATCAAGGAGCACAGCTTCTATAGCGTCAAGATTGCTTGTGAGCTTTTTAACTTCTTCGTCAACACCAACGACTAGCCTCGTCTCCTGCTGTATCCATTCGGGAATGAGTGAAACCAGATACTTTTGGAGACAGGAAACAATAGCTCTAGCCATAATCAGAGAAGATAAATATTTGTGAGTAAAACGAGGAAGAGATAATATTTGTGAAGATTTTGACGTTCTTTGAATTCTTATAATACATAAATGAAGCTAGAAACGAACAAATGTTACATGGTTGAAAAGGGCCCACCCGCCTTTGATTGATGCCCATAATTCAATAAAAATATGCCAACTTTAATGGCAAATCCCTTCAAAATAGCAGAGTCAACAATGGTGTGCCTTGTAGGCCAGCACCTTTGAATCATCTTTTGCTTTGTTCGTGTTTGTTGTATAGAAAGCAGAAGTTGCAATTGATGCTTGGAATCCGGTAAAATTAATTAATCGGTAATGCTTTGCTTAATAAAGCCTCAACTTTTGTTTTGTTTATTATTGCTAAAGAATTAAATCTCTATTTTTAGTCTAAATTATGTACATCTTTCTCCATTAATGGGACCACATTTATTATTTTCATAATTATAGATTTAAAATACAATTGGTGGGACGCATGTGAAATTCAAGTTTGGTTAAATATCCAAAAAGGCCAGCAAGATCTAAATATTACAGAATCATCAACAACTTGGTTTTAAGAATCATCAACAGCATCGACATTTTTGTTTATGAGTTCTGTTAAGGCCTATTTTGGGACGAGTGAAAATTGGGATTTTTGGCTCGTTTGATCTGGGAGATGTCTTGTAAGTTTCCATCTCTTTAGCAAAACATGTTTAAAGAATAATACAAAAGGATTAATAAATTTTCACTTAAGGATTTACTCTCTTGTATTAACTGTCACACTATCAGCTATCAAAGTCAATATCTATAAACATAGTTCGAAGACTAATAATTACTACTAAACATTAACATATAATACATAAGCAAATATTGTAACAAATAAAGGTGGAACAAATGGGCCGGGTTAGGCGGGTCAATCCTAACCAACCCGCCTAACCTGACCCGTAATGAAGAGGGTTCAATCCGCCAGCAACCCCCGGGTGGGCCGGGTTGCAAAATGGCAACTAGACAGCCCGCGGGTTGCTATTTTGTCCTCTCTGTAGGAGGACCGCCATCCCGCTGGGTTGGCCGAAAAAAAAATTAAAATTAATTTATTTTTTCAAATTACCCTTTTACCCTTGAAATATAGCCGTTTTATAGCCGTTGGAGGGGTCTTTTTCGTCATTTTCTTTCCCCATTTTTTTCTATAAATTGGCCCTAAACTCTCATATTTTTCTCACAACTCAAATTCTCTCATTCTCTCATATTCTCTAATCTTCATTCTCTCAATTATTCATTTATTCTCTTAATCTTTTTGTTATCAATTTGCTCTTATTTTAATTTTTATTAGTTTTTGCAATTTTCAATTCATATTTCCAATTTTCCAAATTCCAATTTCCATAAATCCATATTCCAATTCTCTTTCTTTAATTTTTATTTCTTCTACATCAATTTTTTTTTCAACTACAATGGATAGATATTTCTCTCCCATCAATTTCAATGATGAAGAAAACTACTATCCTAGTCCTAGTCCCGCTGATTTTACTATGAATGCAGGAGATTCAAATAGTCCCGCTGTCCCAATCCCAGTCTCTGAATCCGATACACCTCAAAATATGCCCTTAATTCCAACAGCTCTCAGTGGTTCTAGAAGTCGTCCTCGTAATCGTCGTCCTCGTCCAACTCCATCTCAAGTTGAGGCGGGATCATCAACTGCCGTCGAAACCGAAGACAGACACACATCAGACGTTTGGGCGCATTTCGACAAGTTTTACGAGATAGAAAATGGCGTTCAAGTCAAGAAAGCAAGATGCAAATATTGTGGAAATGTTTATAAAGCTGATTCAGGTAATGGTACTAGTACTTTAAAAAGGCATGCTAATAAACATATTAATCAACATGGAAATAGAGAAAGCAATCAAACTCAAATAACTAATATGGGTACTACTTGGCGTTATAATTCTGATGTATATAGGGAACAGTTAGCTTTATATATTGCTGCATCTGATCAACCTATTAATATGGCAGAAGATAAATATTTTGAAAGATTTGTTCAAAATTCATTTTTTCCAGGATTTAAAAGTTATTCTAAAACTGCAACTAGAAATGATTTAATAAAATTGTTTAAAAAAATGAAATTAGAATTAAAAAATAAATTTCATACTTGTCATATTAGTGTGGCTTTAACTGCTGATATTTGGAGTGGTAGAGCTAAACAAGATTATATTTGTGTGACTAGTCATTATTTTGATAATGAATTTAAATTAAATAAATCTTTATTAGGATTTAGATTAATGGATGTGGATCATAGTGGTTTAGAAATCTATAATAAAATTATTGAAGTTTTAGAAGATTATGATATTATTGATAAAGTGATAAGTTTAACTTTAGATAATGCAAGTTCTAATAGTAAAGCTATAGAATTTTTTCAAAATAATTATCTTTTATATAATAATTTGAAGTTTTTTCACCAACGTTGTGCATGTCATGTTATTAATTTAATTGTGAAAAGTGGTATGAAAACAATTAAAAAAAATATTGATAGAATTAGGGAATCTTTAGCTTGGATTACTAGTAGTAATAAAAGAAATGCTGAATTTCAAGAAGCTTGTATAAAATCAAATATGTCTCCTAGAACTTTTGCATTAGATATGCCTGTTAGATGGAATAGTACTTATTTAATGCTTGATTCATGTTTACCTTATGCTAATATAATTAGTTATTTTGTAGCAAATAATAGAGGTCCTCATCATTTGGTAGAAAATGATTGGAAGATAGCTAAAGTATTTCATTCTTTTCTCAAATGTTTTTACCAAGCCACTTTACAACTTTCTGGTGTGTATTATCCTACTAGTCCATTGGTAATACATGCAATTATAAAAATTTCCGAGTTATTTACAAAAAACAAAGACAATGAAATTTTACATGCACCAATAAAGGCAATGGAAAATTTTTTTTTGAAATATTGGAAACCCGTTCCTTTTCTTTATTGTTTAGGTGCTATATTTGATCCTAGAATTAAATTAGCACGTTTAGAAAATGGTTTTGACAATTTAAGTGAAAATTTACAAACCGAATCATATGTCAATCAAATAGGAGAGGTAAAAAATAGTCTTTTCGAAGTATATTTCCAATATGAAAACAGGTATGGGAACCCGCAGTCGCAAAGAGGCGAAATATCCAGAGAAGCTGTAGCAGAAGAAACAAATGAAGACTTATTCTCTTGGAATGCACTGAATAGGCCGAAGAGGACCCGAGTCCGAAGCACAGCCTCCTCTTCAGAAGCACCACCACCAACAACAACAACAACTAATATGCTGTCCTCCATGGAGTCGCAGAGTAATGAACTTCAACAATATTTGGCAACCCCCGAAATGTTTTCAACAGGTCACTTTGATCTCTTAGAGTATTGGAGAGCCAGAAAATGTATTTTTCCGGTATTATCAAGACTTGCCTTGGATGTTTTCGCTGTTCCTGTCTCAACCGTCTCATCCGAACAAACATTTAGTGCAAGTGGAAGGATTTTAAATGAAAGGAGGACTAAACTTGCTCCAAAAATGATTGAAGTCCTCACATGTCTTCGAGATTGGGAACGATCGCGCCATCAAGATCAATACGAGGTTATCGACAATACTTTAATAGAATCATTTCAATTTTGTAATATAGATGATACAGATGAGGGAGGTCCTAGTGAACCACCCCCAATTTAGTTGTTTTGTAAAATGTAATTTGTAAATTAATTGTCAATTATTGCACTCTTTTTTCTTTACCAAGTTTTTCTCCCATTGGGTTTTTCTTGGTGAGGTTTTTAACGAGGCAATAATTGTTGTAATTTCTTATTTTATTTTTTGATAAATGAATAAGTCTAATTTTTCTTATATTACAATTTTATTGTATTAAAATTGAATTAATGTTTGAAATGTTAACAAAAAAAAAAAATTGAATTGAATTGAATTATTGATATTTAAAAAGTTAACTAAAAATAATTATATTTATAATTATTTATTTGAAAAGTTAAATAAATAAATAAAAAAAGGGGCTAACCCGGCCCGGACCGCTGCCTAACCCGACGGGTTAGGGTTGGCGGGCCGGGCTGGGCTAGCCATTTTCTCTAAAATGGCAAGCCTAACCCGGCTTGTCTTTATTGGCGGGCGGGTTAGGCCCAGCCCGCCAAACTTTGCAATCCATCGCGGGCCGGGTCGGGTTGGGCTGGGTGGGTTATTTTTCCACCTCTAGTAACAAATCCTCAAGTATATGTATAAAAATGCATCTATCATGAAAATAAAAAATAAATTTACATTTTTTTAAAAGACAGTTCCTTGTAACCTGATCTCGCAACTCATCAATAAGTCGTTTTACATTGATGTTGATATATTACCAAACCTATTGAAAATAATAGTGAGAAACGTTGGCTTGATGGGCCTGCACCTTCCATCAACTTTTGTTTTGTTCAGATTATGTAGATTTTTCTCCTATTTTTCTCCTTACATGGGACCCAAATCTTATTATCTTCATCAATGAGAGACATATATGTGGCTGTGCATTTATTAATAGTCAATTATGGGTTGGACAAGCGACCAGTCAATACGTTGTATTGTAGGGAAGGGACCCACATTTTTTAAGAGGAGGAGAGAGGAAGGATAAGCAAGTAGTATGGGATGTTGGTTGAGTTTACCAAAATTAGTTTATGTGTAACAAACGTTGATAAGCTAATTTTAGCTTATAAATATTTAAAATTTTAAATAATTATGTGTTTGGTTAAAATGTTTATAAGTGATTAATAAGTAATTGACATGTTTGATAAAATGTGACTTATAAGTATATTTTATTATAAAATAACTAAAAAGGATACTATATTGAATAAGTGTATATTATAGAATTTTAAAATTAAACAAGGATAAGTTTATAAACTTAGACAAACACTTCAAGTGTAAGTAATGATGCCATGTGGTCCTGAGTTAATTGGGGTGCATCGTGATGGACCCAAATGGACCTAGAGGATGTGTCTTAATCATAGTTATTAATAT